ACGTTCGCCCAAAATATGAACGAGTTCATGAACTTTCGTTCAATGAACGCGTTCAGGCACAACACTGGCTATAGGGCCTGACCACCTTAGAGAGGTTGCTATGGAGACCAGCAGCCTGCATCCTGGACTGAATGTTGTGCTTTGATCAGTTTTCTCCTAAAGTGATTCTCTGCATTATGAAGAAACATGAGTTTGTAAAGTTTGTGCTTCATTAGGAGGCGACTAGGAAAACTTAAAAAGGGCTGCCATATTTGTACCAGACAGTCTCTCTCCTTCTAAACAAGCTTTACTTGTTTAGTCGCTTTAAAGCTGGAGATGCTGCCTGAGGAGGATCATTTCCTGCAGCGAACATTTCAAATCATTCACCCTAATTTTAACCATGACTTAATATGATGATGTCATAGAGCAACACATCGGCTCGACTTCAGCTTTCACTGTCGACTGGATAAAAATCACAACCTTAATTCCCCATTTTTAAGCTTTTCTTTACTTTGTTAAACTTTATTTCTTCTTTAATCACAAGTAAGAAAAAGTTAAAGAACAACTTTTAACCACAACTGAGCTAAACTAAAAAAAATGGAGAACGTTCCATCTTTAAAACGTTTAATTTCAATGTTAATCAATCATCTAGCAGAGGGTCAGATCATCCATTATGCAGTAAAAAGATGACGAACAGGAATAAAGTGTTTAAATATTCCTGTAATGTGCAGAATAAGAAGCGCGGACACACCTGCAGGGTTGGGTGGCGGTTCGATAAAAGGCCAGGGAGAGCGGCGAGGGGAAACCCAGAGCGAGCCGACAGTCCTGAGCGTCGGCGCTGTAACCTTCCTTCAGCAGCAGCTCAGCGCTGCTGCTCTGCTCGCTGCTGATGGCCACATACAGCGGACTGACCATGCCTTCGCCGCCATCACACCTCCGGTCCGTCACCTCAATCAGTCTGCGCAGAATCCTGGGTTCACAGATTTCACAAAGGTTAGGAGATGAAGCTGCAGCCAGAAAAACATGTTTTAGGGTTTAAAGAGTAGATGAATGAGGCGCTGTGATTGGAGCTTTGAACGGCTGTGATGCAGGACGGATCCTCCATCAAGCTGAGCAGATCGCCGTACCTGATACGTCCAAACTGAGCAGCAGCATGAATGGGAAGCTGAGGCCAGTCGTCGCTGCAGGCCATGTTGGGATCGGCGCCGCGCTCCAGCAGGAGATCCACGCAGTCCTGGTGGCCTTCCTGGGAGGCGATGAGCAGCGGCGTCGCCAGATCAGCCGCCTGAGCGTTCACATTGGCTCCTGGACACAAAATACTGATCATTACGCTCTGGTTCACAGAAAAGTTCCTTAAAGAACTTTATGCTCAAATAAATTCACTGCAAAACCTGAAACATAACGGAGTCAATTTTTCCTTGAATTTTTT